GGGAATCCAGCCTGCTTCATAGGCTACCTCCTCTGAAGGCACCTAGTGTTATGGATTGAATCTCCAATGTGCCAACAGGCTGATGTATTGATCGCTTGGTTTCTAGGTGGTGAGGTACTATTTAGGGAGGTTCTGCACAACTGAGGAAGTGGGGCCTAGTTGGAAGGAGTAGAGCACTAGAGGCCTGCCTTCATCGGTTATACCTCGCCCTCTGTCTCTCCTTGTTTTTCTGCTTGCTGTCTACAGTAGGTGAATTGAACTGCCACCTCCTCCACACATGTTCCGTTTTGGACTCAAAGTCAGCAGGGGCAAGGAATCTGAACAAAATCTCTGAATCATAGGTAAGAAGACAATTTCCCTCCTTTAAGTGGTCTTCTTGTGTTTGGGCAGCAGCAATGTAAGAGTGACCAATACAACCAGAGAAAAGGGATGCATTTGAGGTTTCCCTCACTGAAGAGGAGCAAGTGAGGCACACATGCTTTGTTGGTAGCTTCTGCGAAATGCTTGTTGGTTTTTATTTTTATTTTTTTTTTCTGATATGAGGCTCTGGTCTTGCTGGTGTCTTTCTCTCCCTCTTCTTTCAGCTGTAATTGGAAGTAAGAAGCATGGTACTGTATGGGCTATTGTGAGACTGAGATAAAGGACAAGAGAGGCTCTGAAGTGTTGGCCTCAACCCTCTGGGGCTCCTAGATTGGGCCCAGGAAGGAGGGCATTGCTCGTGGTTCAGAGCATTGCTCCAGAGGGCTGGGTAAGTGTCCTCTCCCGTTTTGGGAAAACTGGTGAAGAAGGCAACCAAGGATTCTTTCCTCTGAGTAACTTTTTCATCTCAGCCCAAATAGTTATCATCAAAACAAAAAGGGGAGGGCGGGGGGCAGTGAATACTGGACAGGATGTGAGGAAAGGAACACATTGCTATTGGTGGGTACAAATTATTATAACCCCTGTAGAAAAGCATATGCAGGATCTACCAAAAAATTAAAACCGGAATAGGTTTATGATCTGGTTAACCCACTCCTGGAAACATACCTGAAGGAAGCTAAGTTAGGGGCCTATCCATGTGTACTGAAATGCTGTTTACTACAGCCAAGATAGGAAATTAGATCAAGGTGGCTACACACACACACACACACACACATACACACACATACACACACACACACACATACACACACACACACATATACACACACACACACACTATTCAGCTCTAAAGATACATGGAATCAAGTAACATGCAGGAGAAACTGTGGGGCTAAAAGACACCATGTTAAAATTAAGGCACACACAGATAGATGGGTGTCATGTTGTCTGTCATATATGGAAACAAAAGAAAAAATGCCTTGAAAGTAGAAGATGAACAAGAGGAAGGGAAGGGGTTGAGGGAAAGAGTAGGAGATAGCAGAAGAGAGGGAGAATATGCCATAGCATGTACGTGTGTGACACTATCACAGCAGAACCTATTGGTTTGTACAATTAATATGTGTTAATAATAGTAGAGATTTAAAGAAGGATGAATTTTTTTTCTCTCTCAGCTAGGTATGGAGAAGGGGAGAGTACCCTAAAGTAACAGCAAATTAACACTACCAGCTGCTCTCAAGCCCCAGCTGCAGCCACAGGTTAGCAGAGCCACAATTAATGCCCTGCTCCAGCTTTCAGGATTTATCATTGCTGCAGGCTGAGGAGGGGAGAGAGAGGGAGAGAGAGAAAGCCACACCCACCTCTTCAAATTCATTAACACCTCCCACCTAACACTGCAGCTGGCTGTGTCTGCCCACAGCTAATGAATGTGGTTGTCAAACACAAGCTTGCAAAAACGCTGGCAGAGGAAACGCCCCGACTCTCCGAGGGCTCTTCTGGACACCTTTTTCTTGGAAAAACGGTTTCCCATAAGACCATCTTGCTTAAATATTTTAACAGTAATCACTTAAACATTAAATGTGTATTTAAATAAGGAGGAAAAGATGGAAGATGGATAATAGGGAAGGAAGGAAAGAAAAAAGGAAAAGAAAATTAGTTAGAAGGCAGAATAACTCCTAAATAAGACCCCATAAGCTAGGTTCTGCGGACAGGTACAAAGGGGCTGTACAAACTGCGGGCAGGTACAAACTCCACAGTAGTTATCTGTTTCACTGTAGACAAAAGTTCCCAAAAAGCAGAAGGAACCAATAACAGAAAGTACTGACTGTGGCCTGGAAGCAAATCAGCAGGAAGATGTGTGTGTGTGTGTGTGTGTGTGTGTGTGTGATTTTAACATAGTAATAACATTCTGCAAGTAGTAGATATGCTCTTCAAAAAGAACATTTCAAGTAATATTGTGGCTTTATTTAATCACGCACAACCCTCTGTTTTTTTAAAGATTAATTCTAGTTTTATTTATGTGCACATGTGTGTTTCTGTGTATGTGAATGCTGGTGTGTGTAGAAGCCGGAAGATGGTGTCAGATTTCCTGGAGCTGGAGTTACAGGTGGTTGTGAAGCAACTGACATAGGAGCTGGAATTGAACCCAGGTACTCAGCAGGAGCAACACACTGAGTCATTTCTTCAGCCTGTCACTTTTTAATAATTTTAGTATTTTCGCATGCATTTGTATGTGGATGGGACAGCTTGTGGGAACCATTTATCCCCTTCCACCCAGTGAAGCCTGAATATCTAACTCAGCTCCTCAGTCTTGGCAGCAAGTGCCGAGCTTTCTAACTAGCCCCTAAGCCTTCAGAAGAGATCCACTTCCCGAAGTAAAATGATAAGGGCTGGAGAAATTCCAGCCTCTCCCAGTCTTAGCACTATTGCCGCAGTGACCCTGTAACAGTTTGAATGATAGGAACGAAAATTGGACAGGAGAAAAATCCCCCCCCCCCCTGGTTCTTCGTCCCCTTCACATGTGGGTGACTTCTCGGCTACTAAACAGTAGAAAGTTGAAATCAATTACTTTCTTTTTCTTATATTGATGATAACTTTGGAATCAGATATGTAATAATTCTCAGAAGGGCCACAATGGAACGGCATTTAATGCTAAAAATATGAAGAGGCTAAACAAGATTTAAAATACACGTTAGTTTGACTCTACAGGTTTTTATCTTAAAAGTAAGATGCTCTATATGTTTTCTTCCTTTATACTGAAGAAATAAAATCAATACTGTTTCTCTTTTGTGTGTTTGAAGACTTCAGTTCTCACCATAGTAGATACTGTGGTATGTGCCCAGACCTCTCCGTTTTAATAAGGATGTAGGGGCTGACAGCTCTCTATCGCCGACCCACTCTTAGAGCCTTGCTGGCCAACACAGGAAACCAACTGTGTTCTATTACAGCTCTTCCCTAAGGGCAGTCTAGAACCAAGGACCAGCCCACATACAGGGACAAAGGGCTCACAACCTTCCTTGCAATGGAACAACTCTGAAGAACCTAGTCTAGCTATAAACCTTGGGGTCTACTGAGGCTGCTGTTGTCTTGCTAACTCTTCCCTCTGCCCATCACTGACTCCTGTACTCTTTCACACACGTCGATCCCATGGATAGCCCACAGAAACTGTAGTGAGACTACATAGTAGGAATGAGCTGTGGTTACCATGTTAATTGGACACAAAACTCGTGTTTCAGTTTATGGGGATGTTGTAACTTTTGCCTAACATCTGGAAAGACTATTATAAACACACTGAAACTTCTTTTTTAAGACTATGAGCCAGGCGAGGTGGCACATGCCCTTAATCCCAGCACTTGGAAGGCAGAGGCAGGAAGATCTCTGTGAGTTCGAGGCCAGCCTGGTCTACAAAGAGAGTCTAGGACAGGCAAGTCTACATAGAGAAACCCTGTCTTGAACAAACAAAACAAGGCAAAACAAAACAACAAAACAAAGAGAATGTTTTTCTTTTTATTGATTTCTACTGGTATTTATATCGCATATTTAGATTTATATCTATTCCTTTTAGATTTAGTTTGATCTTCCAAAATTGCAGTTACCATTATATAGGAAACATTTTTTGTTTCTAAGTGCTTAATGCTAGAGGATTAAAGGGAATGATTTTTAAGTTTTCATATCTATCTATCTTACGAAGTAATGTTATGCCTTCCCTCCTTTGACTTTGTTATGTTTTCTAAAAATATACGCAACACCAACAAAAAAACATACAGTTTACCTCTTACTCCCCATTGTTAACAGAAGATATCCCTCTTGCATTGTTTCTTTTTGCAAACCTCATTGGGATGTTTAATAAACAAATGGTGACAGCAGGCATTACTGTCCTATTTCTGATTATAATTGAAGTTTTAGACTATCCCACTTAAGCTGCTGTTTGGGGGACAGTTCTCTTTCTGAAAAGATCAGCTGTTTTTATCGTGTTTATTTCAGTCACTATCAATATGATTGCCTGGCTTTCTCCTTCAGCTCCTGTGAGTGGTCCTGTGGACATATTTCCTTACCTTGAGCCACTCTTGCTTTTCTGTGCCTGCATTTCTTCAATACCCATAAATGCCCAGGGAACATTTACTAAAATATGCCAAATATTAGTGATTTTGCAAAAAGGAAGCAAGATCAAATTAATTTGAGAATCAAAGGACCAAACAAAGCTACATGGTACTTTCCAGAACCTTGGAAATGTACGTTGTCAGTCTTCAAGAGCAGAGTACAAAGTGGCCAGTGAGTTTTATTACTGTTCCATCCTCTTCTCATCAGAGATTGCCTTCATTCAGAACTCGCTTTGGGGTCGCTTATGTGGAGAGCAGATGCTGAGGTTTGCAAATGCTCCCAGCCCATGAAACCAACTAAATCACTGTGAAGTCAAATCACAACTGTGCGATGCCATTTCAGAAAAATAAAACACTCAGTTAATTTTTTTTTTTCACTAAACATGCTTTTATGCTAGATTTTCTATTTTTTGATGCTTGGTCAATTTAACCACTCCTCTAACCAGTCTTAAATACAGTGCTAGGAAAGAATATAATTGTACCCAGTGCCCAACTCTGTCTACAGTGACCCCTGGTAACCTGGTTAGGGCAGACAGCACTCACCAATGACATATTCCACTCTGAAGAGATCCTTCCTGGGGTCATATGGACGATTGAAGTCGATCTGGACGTAGAAAGACTGCCCTCGGCGGACAATCAAGTTGTTGTTGTCGTATTTCTCTGTGTGGTGATCAATCTTGTTGCTGTCCCATCTTTCCTTGAACAGGTGAACAGCTGTGACATTCAGGTAATCTGACCATGCAGAAAGCAAAGTAAGAAAGTCGTTAAATATGTTTGACCTAGCTCCTCCCTCGATAATCAAGCTTATTTTTCTAGAAGAAAATCTGCTGGATGGAGCTGCAAGGGAAGGGAGGGGGCAGCAGATTCAAGAATCAGCCTCTTGGCTGTGGAAGACAGATTCATTTTAAACCTCTCCCCACCTGCGAGCTCATTTCAGCACACAGGATTAACTCACTTTGGGAGAGAAGGGCGCCTGGTTTGTAGATCTAGACAGAGAGAAGCGAGGGTCAGAGTTCAAGTCTTCAGTTCAAATCTCACGCTGGGTTTTGTTAAGCCAGGCTCTTCCCATTGTGACTATCCCTCCCTGTGTGACACCGCCACATCAGTTTCCCCATCTTTCAAAGGAGAGGAATCAAATCTGACAAAGCCTCAAAGGGACAAAGCTAGCCATTAATCCAAACTTCCCCTCCTACCCCAGGAAGGGTCAAATGTCCTCCTACTGAAATTCTAAAAGTAGGTCTGATTCCTCAAAGGCAAGGAGGAGGGGGGACAGTGCTCTAGAAAGGAAGGCTGCATTCTGTGTGGCAACATGTGACCACATCCACTGGCATAGGCAGAATCAGACTCACACCTCCTTGCCTAAATGAGCCATGTAGGTGCCAGACTCTTGTCCTTTTGGTGCCAAAATGTCCAAGCTTTTCCTGTCTTTTGGAGTCAGGAGTATGCATGTCAACTCTATGCCTGCTGCTCATGTAATTTTGCATATGTTCGCTTATTTTACAGACCAGCATGCTAGGCTACAACGTCACCCAGAGGCTCACATAGATGACGGTGACATGAGATTCCATGAGTGAAAGGAACTTGCAGACAGTCTGACACGTGCTAGTCCTGGAGAAAGGGGAGCTCCGCTTGCCTTTCTTCATTTCCTTCTGCACATGAGCATGCACAGAAAGGGCAGAAATGTAGTTCAGGAGATTAGCGGGGGCAACTGGTTTGTATACACACGTTTGGAGTCCTATGTACTAAGTTGAGACAGATAGCCTGGCCACACTTTTCAGAGCTGCCTGGCTACTTGGTGCATGCTTTCCTCTTATGGCCAGAGACATGTTGCATTCAGAAAGCACAGTAGGTTGGGCTTGAATCTTTGTGGAGACATCTCCTTGCAACACTCCCAGAACTCCTGTGAACTCGAGACAGGACTCCCGGTCCCTTTAGACTCTATTTTTCCCTTGTAGAGAAAAAACAAGAAGTTGGGTATGTTAAGATTCTCTGGAACTTTTATGCTCAATAGTCTCTGAAACACTCTTGAAAAAGTTAAGGTTTGGGTAAAATTGAGTCAAAACTCAAGTCTCAAAATTCCTTGTATATGATGATGATATTTTTCTTCCAGATTTGAGTTACCTTCCCCTCTCAGGTGAGGAGATTGCTACCTGGAAAATTTCTACGAAGATTATAGTTATCGTGGATAGGTCTGGTGCTGTCCCTGGCACAGAGTGGCACCGTTAACCTACAGTGGCTCATAGACCGGGAACTCTGAGAAAGCCGGTCCATATGGTGGGGACTTCTTGGTTTCCTCTGACTGTGCTGTTAGGCAGGCAAAACGCAAGACACTTGGACTTTTGCATCATCTCAAAGACTTGTCAACATACAGCAACCCCTGAAGAGCACTTTTCCTTTAAAGTGGAAGCTACAGATGTATAATTTTGGAGCCCTTCTCTTCCATGCTGCCTTTTCTTCTAACTTCTATGACTTTATTAGAACCACGATTCCCATGTTAAAGCAACCTGAGAGGCAGGCAGATCCCCAAGCTTTGCTAGCTAAACAATCTAACTCCAGGTTCAGAGAGAGACCCTGACTCAAAAAATAAAGTGGTTAATTGTACAAGAGGATGCTTGATGCTGACCTCTGACCTCCACATGCACACGCACTAGTATGTATACACACACATGAGCACACACAAACACATATACATACCTCTCTTTGTGTTTCAGTGTCTCTGTTTCTCTCTATGTGTCCCTCTCCCTCTATCTCCCCCACACTCCCTCTCTCACACACACATACCAAGATGGAAAATCCTTACCAAAATGACTTTATGGATCAACTCTTCTGGTCCTCTTTTTAATCATCACCAGTATCATCTAAAACCCCAAATCTCAAAATGGTTTCATCAGCTTTCCATTCCTGTATAGCAGTGGAAGGAATGCCCTCAATATCATAACTTCACTGAAACTCAGAGGCAAAGACACCTCTAAACCATTTGGTAGACCTTCTAGGTATAGTTGAGTTTTCCCTATCATGGAGCCTGGCCTCTGAGTGAACAGGGAACTCATTACCTCACAGGACACACAGTCCACTCTCATGCAGCTCTACTGTTCTCAAGATGCCCTGTCACCTGCTTCCCTGTGGATTTTCTGACCAGGTGTGCTGGTTCTGACTTACACACAGATCCAGAGCAAGTCTGTCCCTCTGGTACCTTGGAGTTTAGAGGCCACTTGGAGACATCTCTGAGCAAAACTCTCTCGACTTTTAACCTCTTCTTTAAGGAATCATTTTCAGAATTTAATGAATCCTGTTTCATGATAGATTTCATTTTGTCAGTTTCTCTCAGGGAGAATTTTTCCTCAACTAAAATGCATTATACAGGCTGTAGTTTTTCTAGTAAACAACAATGAAACTACCACAACCTGTAAAAATAAAAGGTTAATTTTTTAAGCTCGGGCATCATTGGATACGGATATCTTACTTTGGATTTACATTAAGCATCCGCTGAAGCAAAACCCTTAAAACACATTCTGATGTCATTTCTATCGATAGCGGATTACAGTTCTGTTCAGACGCCCACAGATCTCTCACCTGTGTAGCTATTTGGCTATATTTACTTATGCAACTGATTTTTTTTTCTTTGTGCCTCCATCTTTAAGGCCTTGCATGAATTCATACTACACGCCTACTGGTAGAGTCGTTTTATTGTTCCGCACTCTTGCAATAGTTTTGGACGTTATGTGTGCATTCAGTATGCTTACTGTTTGCTACAGCTAGATTTCCATAGTGTGATGTTTTGTGTTGTCTGTCATCCAAGGCAGGAAGACAATTAGACAATTGCTACATAACTGAAAGCTAAGTAAGCCTACAGTGGTAAAAAAAAAAAAAAAAAAAAAAAAAAAGAAGCATAAATAATAAAGGGAGTTTAGGGTTTTGGAAAGGGGTGTGGGAGAACCCCTAACTCAAGGGAGATGAAGGACATTTTCTGGAGAAAGTACGATAGAAGCAGTGACCAAAGGAGGAGGCAATTTTCCACATAAGAAGAAAATAGGGTTCTACTTCATCTCTGTTGGTTTGATGAAACACTTTGAGCAAAAGCAACCCAAAAGGGTTTAATTGGCTTACAGTCCAACACTGAAGGAAGCGGGGGTTCAGAACTTGGAGTTATGCTCTGGCTTGTACATAAGCTCAGTAGCTTTTTTTATATAGCCCAGGACCTCCTGACCAGGAAATGACCCTCCTACAGCGGGCTGGGCCTCATTCCCTCGGAAAGACAATCCAGACCACCCTTAAAGATGTAACTGAAGACCAATCTGGTAAAGAAAAATGCTTGGTTGAAACTCATGTTTCCGGTGATTCCAGGCTGTATGAAGTTGACAGTTAATGCTGACCAGGAGAGTTCGGGACGAGTGCTTACAGAGGAGGGTGGCTCAGAAAATAGTGAGTGAGCATATAAAAGGCTAGAAGACAATAGGCTGGCTGGGTTGGGTTGAGGAGCACAATGAAAACTGAAGGCCAGCAGCTCCTGCAAGCGTTGTCAGCCATGTTCAGGGGTTTAGAGTTTGTGTTGAGGAGCTAGCAAGAATACAAAACAATAACCTGACAAAATTATTTAGCCAATACATTCAAGTTTAAACCTCTTCTGGGGACAGAGTGGAAGAGAGTTGGGATGGTATCAGTCTTGAACAGTGGAAGTACAGCTAGGAAGCTGTTGCCCATTTTTGGCAATAACAAAGGATTTGGAGCCAGACTGTCAGGACCCTTTACATCTGCCACATATTGTCTTTACAACCTTGGACAAGCTGCGTAACCTTTCTAGGACCCAGTTTCATCATCTGCAGCATGTAGTTGGAATGGGCAGAATGTGGAAGGGGTACTGTATATGGGGTCTAGCGCATGCTAATCACTCAGAAGGCAATAGCAGCAACGGTAGCTCCTAACATCTTGGAAGTCCCTGGGGCTCTAAAGTTCAGAAATTAGAGTCTGGGAAGGTGTGCAAGGAACACAGAACAGGATCCAGGATCCCATCATGAAGCAGACCCTCAAGGAACCTGCCTGACGCTAAGCATGATGTTGCACATCCCCTGTCTTCTTTTTCTTCTTGCTTTTCTTTTCCTGACTCTATGGGTAGAAAAGTCCTTCCCCACTCCAGTCTTTGAATAACCCATTTCTCTTCTTAAGAAGGTGTAGACTACCATTAACAACTTTATTTTACATCTACACAGGTGATGCTACCTACAGGACTGGACACTCCTTGAGGAGATGACTATGCTTTGGTCATCTTGTCATCACTCATGCCTGGGGAAATGTGTGAGAAATGTCCCAGAAGGCATGGCTGCTTTTCACTTAAATGAGTTTCACACCTAAATATTTGGGTCCTGTTTCTTGTTTGTTTGTTTGTTTTTTTTAATTTTGAAATAAATTGTATCATTAACTATAGAGGAAAATATATCAGTTCTTTAAATATCATTTATCAGGCAGTTTATTCTCAAGACAAGCAATTTCAAGGGCAGCATATTGTTGGGAGGATTGGAGACGACAGAGTTTGAGGCCTCTGTATGAGAACTTTTGTTTCACACTGGAATAAGACCACCATGTCTTCATGCTGTTTGGAACAAAAAGAAGGTAAAGGGGCTAATGAAATGTGAGTGTATCAAGCCTGAGACAGACAGACAGTCACACACACACCCCTTATGGTTTGCAAGGGATTTTTTTTCTTAGTGAAAATAAACACATACAACTTGTTTTGA